GTCCCGTCTCAAGAAACCCTAAAAGGATAAGGAACACATACACTTATAATAGGTAAGTGGGGATAATAGGTCAAGAGGTAATGATTCTAGAGAGCAGAATGGTAGAGGAATCCAAATTCTAAGTGCCTGCAGAGGGTGGCAAAAACAGTTAAGGCAACACCTCAAGCACTGCCAAGAATTAAGACAGTCATTGCTAACATCAGATGGATCTGGGCTGGAAACAAAGTATCAGAAAGACGTCTACTTGTGTTCCACTGACTATACAAAGACATTCAACTGTAGATCATAACAAACTAGGTATGGATAGCTTTGTGAAGATTGAGAATTTCAGAATACTTCATAGTGCAATCAGGCAGAACTTGTATATAGACCAGAGGCAGTCGTATGAAAAGAACAAGGGAATACTTCATGATTCAAAACCAGGAAAGCTGTGTATTCAGATTGTATTCTTTCTATACTCAGTCTGTATGCTGAAAAAAAAAAGAAGAATCCAACAAGCTCGATTATCTGAACTCGGCATCCGGGTTAGATAGAAGAAGGCTAACATAACAGCCTGCATGGAGCAGATGACACCAGTTTGCTTGCTGAAAGCCGAGGGCTTGAAACATTTACTGATAAAGATCAAAGACTTGCAGCCTTCAGTATGGATTACAATTCAATGTAAAGAAACCCTAAATCCTCACACCTGGATTAGTAGATAATATCATAAACAGAGAAAAAGTTGAAGCTGTCAAGGACTTCATTTTGCCAGGATCAGTGCTCCTGGAAGCAGCCATCAAGAGTCACTGACTTACTGCATTGGGCAAATGTGCTGCAAAAGCCTCAAATGCATGCAAAAGCTGGAAAATGAATATGAAAGACTAAAGAATTGGTACATTTGAGTTATGGTATTGCACTGCCAGAACACCACAAAAATATGTCTTGAAAAAGATACAGCTAGAATGATCTTTATAAGGGAGAATGACCAGACTTTGTCATACATATTTTGAGCAAGTTCAGGAGGTACCAGTCCCTTGGGAAGGGCAGACATGGCTGGTAGAGGGTCAGCCGGAGAGAGGAGACCCTCAGAGACTGATTGACACAGTGGTTTTAGCAGTGGGCTCAAACACAGGAACAGTCGTGGAGATAACAGAACTGGGTAGTCGTGTTTTGTTGAGTCAGAATCAACTTGATGGCGCCTAGCAAAAAGAAGCAGAGACAGATGAAGAATGGCAAAAGAGCTGATATTGTTTGCTTTGCTGAATGTATTTATCATTCAGGTAAGACTTTTGAGAGAAACATGGAATGGGGAGAAGCCAAAATGTGGAGTTCTGGTAGAAACTCAGGGGCCCCAAGGACCAAGTAGCACACAGTGTTTTCACCCCCTAGGGAAACAGAACAAGCTTCATAGGGACGTGCCTTCTAAGCAGCACACTTGGTACTTTGGCCCCAGGAAGACACCGCGTGGGCATATAGGAAGAAGTTGCAATTAACCAACCACATCAGGGGGAAGGATTGTTCTGTGAGCACACATTGTACTGAAGACATGCCCATGGTTGCCAAAGGAACCATACCCTGTAGCTTATGGTTAAGTTGCTTAATCACATCCGGAAATCCCAAAACTCATTCTAGTGCAGGAATCTGAGTCCAGTGTTTTTAACAGGTAGGAGAAACGCCTGGGCTTGAGCACTGATTACACAAGAAAACCAGCTACTTGAGAGGGATAAAGGATTTAATTGTTGTTGCTGGTGCCAGCACGTTGGCACTGACCCATAGTGACCCTGTACACAACAGAACGAAACAATGCCTGAGCCCATTGATGCAGCTCCTGCGTCAGTCCTTATCACTGGGGGCCTTCCTGTTTTTCACCCCTCCCTCCATTTTACCAAACTTGATCTCATTCTCCAGGGACTGGTCTCTCCTGACAATATGTCCAAAGTTTGTAATACCAAGTCTTGCCATCCTTGCCTCTAAGGAGCACTCTGGCCATAATTCTTCCAAAACAGATCGGTTTATCCTTTAACTTTCAATATTCTTTTCCACCAACACAATTGAAATTCAATGGATTCAGTTAGTGTGTTGGAACTTTAAATTACTGATCCATAACGTGAAATTAATTTCACAGGATGGTGGGAAGAAAACTAGTCATTATAATACTGAAGGCTACCTAGACTCAAAGTCTGACCTCTTGGCCAGAAAAATGTCCTCGAACTAATTTAAGAATCATACATTTTCATGAGGTGCTGATAGGATCAGGTATCTGACCCAGAATTTAAAAAATCTTATCATTGTGAATGAGGGTGAATGAGAGTGAAGACCCAAAGCCCATCTGTAGACAATGGGACATCCCCTTAAAGGGTCACATGGAAAAGACAAGCCAATCAGGGTGCAGTATAGCACCATTGAAACATACAGCTTTCCTGTAGTTCCTTAATGCTTCCTCCCCTCCCCCCACTATCATGACCCCAATTCTACCTTATGAATAGCCCAGAGCATGCACACCAGTACAGATAAGAACTGGAAACACAGAGAACCCAGGACAGATAAATCTCTCAGGACCAGTGGCATGAGTGGTGATACTGGGAGGGTGGAGGGAGGGTGGGTTGGAAAGGGGGAACCGATTACAAGGATCTACGTGTGACCTTCTCCCTGGGGGACGAACAACAGAAAAGTGGGTGAAGGGAGACATCGATCAGTGTAAGACATGAAAAAAAAAATTATAAATTATCAAGGGTTTGGGAGGCAGGGAGGGAAAAGATAGGCTAATACTAAGGGCTCAAGTAGAAAATTTTTTGAAAATGGCAACAAATGTACAAATGTGCTTGATACAATGGATGCATATATGGATTGTGATGAGTTGTACCAGCCCCCCTCCCCAATAAATTTTTAAAAAAGGACTTAGGAAAGTTTTATCTCTGAACTTTGGAGTACAAAATGGGAATAGTTTAAGTCTAGAGTTGATACTGCTCATTCTTGATATGTCCCTAGGAGAGATGGGTACACTCCTAAGATGTCTACATTCATGTATTTGTTACTCCTAGGGGTGTAATTTTAGTCTGAGGAACCAGTGTCTCAATATTTTCCTAACTCTTCAGAATGTCTACGTTTTCCTGGAGTCTTTTTCTGAATACTTTTGAAGACTAAGTCAGGGTCTTCACTGCTAACAGCTCACTATTACCCTTAACCTTCTGTTTCTATGAAGAATGAGACTTCCTCACAGGGTAACCTGGGAGCTACAATGACTTGCAGCACCATGGGCAGCTGGGTCTCAGGATCACGGTCTTTGCATAGAGTAGAGCTTAAGTTTCTCTCACTTATGCTCTGACCCAGTCACCTAGAGCTTGGCTTGTGAAAAAAGCACACGTGTTCATGCTTGGCACATGGATAAGTACTTGATAAACCTTTGAATACATTAGCCAATGTGAATAGCCTTGTAATCGCTTTAGACGACTATTAGCACTCTCACTAGCTATGAGTCAGACAATTCACTTGGTGTGCTCATTTCCAACTAGATGCTTAGACTAAACCTTTGCCAGCTGCAGGGAACTGACCACTAGTAGCAGTGCCCAGTGAATTGGGAATGGGTTTGTATCAACACATAGTGCCAATGTCAATAAGTGGAGCCAGTAAATGTCTATCTGAGCACTGCATTTAATTAAATATACGAGCTATAAATTCCGGAAAAGAATTTAAGGAGTGAATGTTAAACTTGATTTGGACACAGATTAGGGTAGAGGCTGCACCTGCGTGTTTATAAATGCAAGCAGATCCACTGAAAGTTTACAGGAAGACTGCTCAAGATTCTCCTCCCACCAAAGCCCAGAGGAGTATACCCAGTCTCAGGCAGGCTGACTGCGGACAGGGAAATTCCCAGGCCTGCACGGCATGATGAAAAGGCCATCAGACACAAAGGTGCATCTTGAAGGTCTAGAAAGCCCTAGACCAGGACACCAGCTCTCTTGCTTACAATGTGGAGTGTAAAGGACAGGCCTGATGACCTGTTCCTATGAAGATGCAGCCTAAGAAACCGACCGGGCGTTGTACTGCCACTTTGGGTCACTGAGTCAGAACCGACACTATGGGTAGATGTATAAAAGGTGTCTCTGGATAAGTCACTCAAATTAGCGATGATGGTAGGCCCATCACGTCCATCGTGATTCTGTGTAATCAGAGCAAAACTGCCCAGGCCTGTGGCGACCTCAGTTGTTCTGGTGCTGGAACCTACTGCCGCAGCCACGTGTCGCTCCAGATCCTCAGGGCCTTTTTCTCTTCACTGCTGCTCTACCAAGACTGGTCTCAAGTATGTGAGACAGTCTCCCCCAATCTTGCCTCTAAGGAACACTCTACTCGGCGGCACTTCTTCCATGACAGATGTTTGTTCTTTTAGCAGCCCATGGTACTTTCAGTATTCTTAGCCAACACAGTTCATTTTATGCCTTCCATATTCATTGTCCAACTAGCAGATGCTTCTGAGTTAATGGCTCGGGTCAGGTGCAAAGTAACATCCTTGCTTTTCAGTACTCTAAAGAGGTCCTGCGCAGATGTGACCAAAGCAGTGCATCCTTTGACCTCGCCTGCTGCTTCCATGAGCACTGATTGTGAATCCAAGATGAAATCCTTGACTTCACCATTGCTCCCTTTATCATGTTACCCATTGGTCCAGTGGTGAGAACTTTTGGTCTTCTTTACGTTAGGCTGTAATCCTGGATCTTCATCACCAGGTGTTTCAAGTCTTCCTCACTTTCAGCAAGCGTGGTCGTCATCTTCATCTCAAGTTGGCAATAAGCCTTCTTCCAGTCCCGATGCCCCACTCGTCATGTACTCCACCTTCTCTGATGGTTTGCTCAGCAAGACTGAATGATAGTGACAAGATACACGACCTGATGCACGTCCTTCCTGATTTTAAAGTGATAAGCTGTGATAATCCTGAGCATCCATTAGATAGATCCACATTTATAATAAAACAAGTCATACAACCTTAAATGGGTACTTAAAAAAAACCTTTTTGTCTGCTCTATCAGCTGTATCTCCAAGCCAGGATGAAGAGAGACTGGGCCAGACTCTTACGTCCGACCCTGCAATTTGGTCTTGTTGCCACATCCATCTATGTGGGTCTGACTCGAGTTTCTGATTACAAACACCATTGGAGCGACGTGCTGACTGGACTCTTTCAAGGGGCTCTGGTTGCAATATTAGTCGTAAGTATACAGAGCTGCCAGCTACAGCTTGATACTGATAAACGTTTGGGTATATATTTTTTAAAAAGTCTCCTGGGAAAATTGCAGGTGACACAGTAACTGGTAGTAATTAAAAATCCCAATGTTACTGAAACTCATTTTAGGATACGTAGCAGGTACAAAAAAGTAGGTTACTCATAGAAAAATGCAATAAAGTTTATTGTATTTTTACCGTGAAAGATTCTGACTGTAAAACTACTTTAGCCATTTCTTTTAAGTGAGAATTGGGAGAAAGGAGTTTTCATACTCAATTCTGAAGCATCTGTCTTAACAAAACTACCTCTGAAACTGTATTTATCCTCTTAATTTGCACTCCCCCCAACATATCGCCTGTATGATCTTTGAACGTAACATCTGTCTTATACAGGTTGTGTATGTGTCGGATTTCTTCAAGGAGAAAAACTCTCTTAAAGAAAGCAAAGAGGAGGACTCGCACACGGTTCTTCACGAGACGGCCTCAGCGGAGAATCACTATGGGAATAACCACCAGCCCTAGAGGGTGGCTGAAGCTGGCCTGTGCACCACACGAGGCTGTCGCACACCTCGCCTCCTGGTGCACAGGCCTTTACGGACTGCTGCTGCTAATACCTCTTGGATGCCCACTTTACCTGTGTATAAGGGTCACATTTAACACAACTGCTCAGAGTTCGTTTTTAAAAGAAAATGTTAAGCATTCACCAAAACAATACCCCTCACCCCCTGTACGTTTTTTTTTTAATTAAAAATGCAATGCTGTGTACAGATTGATGTTTTGTACGCATGATGCTTGATGGAAATGTGATACAGATTAAAATGTTGAGGACTTGGGCGAAAGCACATCCATACTGGTACAATTTGCAGTCGCTAATCAGACAGTGGTGAGCAGTTGAAAGTCATATTCCCCGAACTTGAGCTGACTCTATAAGTAGAGGCTGGCAGCAAACACAATATCTCTCTTGATTTTGGTGATTCCTAAGAAAAGAAAAATGATTTAACTTTAAAAAAAAATCACAAAGAACAGACTCCACTTACCTGGGGTTATAGAAAACAACTCAGCAATCTTGACTAAATCATTTAAGTTGGTGTAAAAAAAAAAATCCCTCTGTCAGAGACAGGTCACGGTCACTTCCCAGAGGTAGAAGCGTAGACATCAACCCCCATTTTTGGCATTCACTCTAAAGCTCACACAAAATTATCTGAAGGACCAGGCTGTCAAAACAGCTCATCCCAAAGCACAGAGCTTCAACCCATCTCAGAAAGCAATTTATTCTCAGTTACTATATGATGTTCTTTCTGGAGTAAGGCAGGATACACATAAATTTTATCCTTAAAATATTCACATCTGGACTTAAACCCTGATTGATGAAATAAATAAGCCTGCCTCTATGAGTTGGCATCCACTAAATGGCAAGGAATTTGGTGTTTTGGTTTTATCAGCCATGTGGAAACAAACCTTTTACAAACCAAGACGCTAGCTTGTTGAGCAAAAATTATGAGTAAAGACTGCCTGGTTTTTGCTTGACCCTTCTTGCTGTGGACGTGCGATTCTTCATGTTAAAAGCACGGTTAAGTCCTCTTCCCCCAATCACTACCACCTTGGTAAAGCAATCCATTCTTGATCTGGGCTCCTTGCTTCCACCTTCAGCCTTAAACAGTCTGCCTACATTGTAACAGTGCAAAACCAAAACCAGAGTTGAGGCACACCACACTGAGCTCAAACCCTCCAACCACTTCCCTAAGCCAACAGCCAGCCAGGGAGTTGCGCCTTTTCTCCCTTCAGCCCCGCTCTGCTGCTCTCTACTTGCTGCTCCAGCCACACCTTAGAGCCTCAAAATGTCACCTCCTGAGAAGATCTTACCCATCTCACCCCCCAGCCCCGAATTCTTTTTACCTTTGTTTTTTCCTAGAGTACGTATCACCATCTATTTTAATGGCTGACTTGTTGATTGTTCATCTCTTCCACTAGAATGTAGGCTCCATTAAGGCAGGATTATTTTTTTTTGTTCACTGCTGTATACCATAGTCACTTAAAACAATGCTTACTAGCATTGTAAGCTCTCAATATTTGTAAATGAATGCATATAATCTCAAAACAAGCCCCCACCCCACCCCCAGCACACAAAGCATCCAGCATTTTACACAAACACTACCAGATGTCCCCTCTATGGTCATCTGACAGCGTCATCCTAGGTTGTGCCTACGGCTTGAGTCTCACAAGATTTCTCTGTAGCAATAGGAAACCTTATGATAGGACACTGACCTTCTGCAAATTTATTCTCCAGTTCAGTGTTTCCTATGGCTTTTGCTGCTTGACACATCTGCCGAAGCAATTCTTCCAAGCGTCTCATACAACGAATTATGCTACCTGAATATAAAAGAAACAAATACTTGTAAAACAGAAATGAACAGGAGACTTGTAATTAAGAGGCAAGGCAAGAGAACATGGGATAATTACCGTATACACTCGAGTATAAGCGGACCCGATTATCAGCCGAGGCACCTAATTTTACCACAAAAATGGCAGAAAATATGTGCTGAAAAACTCGGCTTATACAAGAGTATATACAGTACTATATCTTTCAAGGACTTCACAGGCAATAAACCAGCCATCAAACTTTGACCACAATGCCCTCTCCACTGTACTAGATGCTTATTAGAGGCAAAAGAGGTGGGAGAGCCAGGGATTTGTGATGATGTGTTGACCACTACTAGAGAGCGCTAGGTATACACAAGCTGCCCTGGGAGCAGAGGAGAGCCAGTGAGTGAAGGCGGGCAAAGGTGGCAAGTAATCTGAGGCTGTGAGATGAGCATGTGTTACAGGGCATGTGAGGAGGGAAGGCCACAGATGGGCAGAGAAGCTTGATAAACTGCACCTATTCAAAGGCTAGGTGGGTAGAGCCTATTGAGAAGTGTGGACACCATCCTGTGAAGAAGAGACTGAAAGAGGGCCTTTTAAAGGAGAGTAATAGGATCAGATTGGTGATTTTAAAAGGACAAGCGTTCATTCTTCCTGACCTTAAATAAGTTCTTTCATCCGTTTTTTGCATACAGTGTGTCAACTAAGCAGAGAAAAGTAGACAAGCTTTTCCCATGGGACCTGACTCCCTGCCTAGAGATGAATGTGTGTAGAAAACTGAAGCTTTAAGAATACTTCCAGTTTTCACACTGGTTGATTCTTTAAGTGCTATCCAGCTCAGTTTAAAATGATTAGGACTTCACTGTTACTGTTTGAAGTGTACTTTCATTAGAAATATACCTCTTTCTTAAGATGCAGGCTAGAAGAACACTTTAATTAGTTCCTTACAGACTCCTTAAAATGCTAACAATGCATTAACATCGAATTTTTGCAAATACTAGTTCAATGCCGAGGGTTCTTTTTAGGACCTCTGTTATATTTGAGTGTGCAAGGCAGGAAAACAATTGAGAATTTAACTCATAAAGCAGAAGGGAATATGAGCCTGCACCCAGGCCTAAGAGAATTGAACAAGAGGTGCCCACACTGTGCACACAGTTTCCGAAGGGGTCTGGGGCTGGGCCCCAGGAGCTTGAGGAAATACTCCACAGGCGCCTTGTACCACAGCAGTGAGAACACAAAGATGCTGCCCATTCAGGAAGCTTATAGGGCAAGACTGCTCAACAAGAGCAACCACTCTTACACAAGCACACTCAAAAGACATGGGGATACCCTACTTAAAAGGACAACGCATCTTCCATGTACAGGGCACTGAGGCAGAGCTCCGATTCTGTCATTAAGTCATTCTGAGAGCGAGGCCCTTCACCTACCTTTACTTCCCTTTCTCACCCGTTGAGCTTAATAAAAATGATTATGGTACCCTACCTTAATCTGAATAAGAGATCAGAGGCACAAGTTCTTTGAAAAGGGCAAGAAAAAAAAAGAGCCTTAAAGTAATGTAAGGTTGTAACGCAGCTCTTCAGCAAAAACACTCCAAAGTGTACAGCTTTTCTGCTCTTCCTCTTGGCCTAACCAAAGGTCCATGCAGTTCTTGGAGAAAGCTGCCAGCACAGAATTACAACCCGTTTCCCTACCTTAAGGACATTTCTATCCAAGTGATTTGACCCCAGAGAACATTTATTTGATGAGAATCAAATAACAGACGGAAAAGTCAGCCAGGATAGAAATTCCATAAAACCCAACCTTCAATCACTAGGGGCACAAACGATACGTCATTTCTCCCCTTATCGCAAGTCTTGAAACACCCCCATGGCTGTCTTGTACATTTACGTCTGCTGGTGCTGCACAGCTCTTAGTCATGACACTTAGTTACCAAGAATAGCAATGAAGCGGATTTTTTTTTTTTTTTTTTTTTTTGAGAAAGAAGGATAATGTTCAGCACTTTCTGAGTACTTATTTTGTAGCAGGTCTATGTTTTATGTGAATGCTCTTGTTTGGTCTTTGCAATTGAACTCATTTTACAAAAGGGAACTGGAGAAGCTCAGAGAGGTTACATATGAACTATGGGTAAATAAATAGGTTCAGGATTTTAATCTAGAGCAGGGGTGGGGACTGTCTTAGATGGCTTGAAAAATCAATACCAGCTAACATCACACACTTCACCAAAGAAACAGTTCCTGCCATCACATTAGGGGTGAGTTAATTTAATGTCTGCCCAAACACTGCAGGCTAATTTTAAGTTGATAATTTTGTATGGCTCACAGATGATGTTATAAATATCCAAACGGCCCCCTTGGCAGAAATAAGGTTCCCCACCCCTGATCTAGACAGTAAGCTTGTCAAGACTAAGCAATTGGCCGCCTAACATTAAAAAGTTCTGTTATTTCCTAAAATTTCTATAGTAAATGCTAATATTTTAATAAATGTTACAGTCATCTTAAAGTAATTTCTAATGTTAATTTTAAAATAAGTTTTAGGCTTTAATATAAACTTCTGTAGAAATCTTCACTGCCAGGTAATGCCAAAGAATTTACATCAATGGATTTCAAGAAACAGGAAGTGGTATCAAGTGTCGAGAAGATAAAAGGGGCTGTTTTCTGCTTTTGGCAGTTAGGTAGTCACTAGTAGCTTTGGCAGGGGTAATTTCCATGAAATACACCCCCAGATCAGTATGGATCGAAATGGAAAGTGGAGTTAAGGAGCTGAAGACAAAACATTTTCAAATACTCTATCTAGGTGCCTGGCATAAGAGGAAGAGTCGGGAGTGAAGATGACAACATATCAGCGTTACTAAAAAGTGACAACAGCAGCTAACGTTTACTGAATGCTGTGTGCCAGGCACCACCCTAATGGTTCTCCAAGTGGGTACCATGTGAGCCTCATGAGATAAGGTAGGTAATACTATTATTAGCTGCCACATTTTATAGCCAAAGAAAAGAAAGTCCGTGTGCTTGCCAGGGAGGCAGTGGGATCTGAATCCAGCATTTGTACTCTGGAAGACATTATGTTAGTGTGCACGAAAAAGGGAAGCATATTATCTGCTAAAAAGGCAGCAGACAGGAGAGAATTGGAGGTTGAAGGGGCTGGGGTGGTAAGGAAGGCGATGAGGTGGAGACTGAGTGCAACTCCGAAGGGAGCATGGGAGAGGCTACACACACAGACAGTGCTGTCCCTCTTCCTGGATGACATCACATTTTGAGTCCGCACAGTCATGCAATTACCAATGGGAAGTTCAGGTGAGTCCGTTTCAAATCTGATTTAAGCAGTTACTTCTGGACATAGGATTATTTTTGTAATAGGATAATCACTTGTGGTCCCTCAACTGTATATAAGGTAGTATTTTGCGGCTGTCAATCATGATAGCACACTAGATTCTGCGACACTTCTTATTTAAATGAAAATTTCCCTCATTAAAAAAAACACAACAGGCCACGATTATAAAAGGTACTATAAGAGCCCACCTTACAAGGTTATTGAATAAAATTCTTCACACAGCCTTCTGCTACATAGGACCTCAACAAAAGGTGCCCTAACAGACAGACTGGCTGATTTCAAATGTGTACCAGGAAGCACAGACAAGCTGACAGGGTCTCTGTATTTCTACAATTGACTAGCTCGAGTGAACAACTGGAATCTGCAGTTGTTCCAGACCAAACCAGATGAATAAACTAGTAAGAACAAAAAATAACTACTGCAAATGAATGTCCAAATCAAGCCAAAAGGCACTGCCATGCTACACTTTGTAAACACTTTAATTCAATTTTAGAAAACTTAGTTCTGAAGCACAGTCTCGGATGACAAGAGATCAAGAAAATGAGGCCATTAGGTACCGGGTTGCACATACAATAGTTGTGGTTGCTGCCCAGAGTCTCATCAACAAATTACCTTGTGTGTGTGCAAACACTAACTGCCCACAGCTGCCAGCAGGAGTTGCCACTCCCCAGAGGGAGAAGCAGCTGCTGCTTCCCATGCCTGACCAGAAGCTGTCTGACCTACCTACCACTGACCTACCTACCCCGGCTCTCCGGGCTGCAGACTCTTAGCACCACCACTTCAGTGAGGACGAGAGCTCCAAACCACCGCAGCCTCTCCGAAATGTCCAGAAACAACACACTAACCGACTACTCTGTTACAAACCTCTTTGGTTCTGTAGGAATAAAGAGAAACGGAATTCTTGCTAGAGAGAGAGTGTGTGTGTGTATGTGTCCGTGCACATGGTGAAATACACATAAAGGTGGTCATTTTAACTAGCTGAAATACAATTGGGTGTCACTGCTGTTTTATACTCAGGCATACCTCACTTACCATTCTGAAAGAACTCACGTAGGACAAATTTCACCCTTTTAAAATACACAGCACAGTGGTTCCCTTTAGTATACTGAGTGCTGTGCTACCACACATCATGATGTAGCTGTAGACCATTTTCACCATCATGAGAAGACACCCCATACCAGGAACAGCCGCTCCACATGAATCCACTTATTGTCTCTGCATTTGCTTCCTCTGGAAGTTTTATAGAGACGGAATCAACACTATGCAGCCTCTGGAGTCTGGTTTCTTTCTCACTCCACATCACAAGTTCAAGGCTCACCAGTCTACCAATCAGCACCTTATTCCTCTTTCTGACCAAATAGAACTCCAGTGTACAGGAATGCCACGTGTTGTTGATCTGTTCTTCAGCAGACCACACGCACTTTGATTTCAGGGAATGTTTACAAGCATGAGGTGCACCTGGTTCTTGAATTACAATGGCATCATTTCCACAGACTCCTCGGAGCAGTCTGCCTCCTGCTTCCAGAGCCCCAGAGGGGTGGGTCCCACAGTCCTCTCTAGGTGATTTCAAAGCATCCAGCTGGAGGTTAGGATGACAATTTCCTTCCCAGCAGCTACTTACCACCAGATCCCAGGCTCGGCGGCACCCTTTGAGAGTGGGGAGCTCTCTGCTCTGCACAGTGCCAGACCCCCACCATGGCCTCAGGAATTATTTGTCAAATACATCTATATTCACTCCTAACCCATTTCGCACTAAAACTGTGCCAAGATTTAAACACAGAAATACGAAGCATCTGGGTGAGGGAAGAGTTAGGAAAGGTTTTTCTCCGCCTTCACTTGAAGAAAGTGCAGTCAATCCAGTGATGCTCTGTCAGAGAAGCTCTCTTGAGGGCAGCACAAGCAGTGACAAGGTGACAGCCCTGTCACTCAAGAGTCGGAGAGCAGCAGCGGCCAGCTGTCTAGAGGCCACTTACACTGGGTGGGATAGATTGAGACCCCAGCATCAGTCTATATAAATACTTCTGAAACACTGACATTTGAATTTAGTTTGCAGAATGAAAACAGTCAAGAGTTATTTATATAACAGATAAGAAGGGGCTTCAAAACATCTTGGAAAAATTCCAATAGCTTTTAATTACATTTTTCCATGAATTTTTAACGCTTCCTTATATGTAAAATATAATTATATAAAGCCTCCAAAATTCCTGAACTAAAATCACAGTCAAGCCATTCTGTAACATTGGACAAATCCAGTAAAACTACTTCTGGGCTCAGAACACGAAATGATGAGATGCTTTAATTTTCCCATAAAGAAGAATATTACGAAATTTAGTAGAAAGAGAGATGACTTTAGTGCAGCAACCAGGAAGTTCCAATGCCGCCTCTTACTGCCTGTAAAAATAAAGACTGGGCAAGAGCCAGGATGACAGTATTTTTCCACTGGTGTAAAGCATGGATAGAAACAAGAGGAGAGAATGACTACTCAGAAATGGAAGAAATAAATAGCAACATGGTTTAAAAAGGAGCACGAGAGAAAGTATGCTGGAAAAAAGAAAAACTATCCTAATGAGATAGATGAAGGTTTTCAGTTTTTTCCTGCTGTTTAATGGCAAGTCTTATTTTTACAGGTTATTTATTTTACAAGTTAATATGTTCCCTATCCAAATTTTAAAAAGGGCTTATCTGTTATAATGACACCCAGACCAGAAAGGGCTGGAAACATTCAGAAAGCATAAGCATCAAGTTGCACTATGTTAAACCCAATTTATAGATACAAACCAAATTTCTCAAATCATTAAACCTGAACTTATCAAGCAAACTGTATTGTAGAAACAACCCCGAGGAACTTAAAGGGGACAGAATAAATTTTAGGAATGTTCCTAAGTCGTGGAAAAGGTTAATTTATAGGTCATACATGACACTTGGATGGAAAAACAGACTGTCTTCAATTTTAGCTTCATCTTCTACACCGATAACTTTCCCACTGAAATACAGAAGATTAATCCACAAGGGCCTTCTTAGATATAAATTTTTAAAATGTGCTGATCTAATAAGCCAAATCTATTACCCTTTGAGTTTTCTTCAAAAAAGAGAAAAAAGGCAGGCCATGCTATACACAATAATGTATTTTTATGCACTGACTTTTTTAAGGTTATCTTTGGCTTCTCAGTGAAGCAGATATTTTATCATCAATATGAAATACTATATTCACAACCCTTGGGATAGCATAATCACAGAACCATCAGTAGGGCCATGCTTATGTTCCAAAGACTTATCAATCTCAAGAATGATGTTGCTCCATTTGATTGCCTCTGTGCCTCTTAAACATATGAGAGGTGCGTAGCTATCATGCATCTACTTGGTTCCCATGTGTAAAGCCATGTTGAAAAGTGAGGTCAGTATGTCATGCGTTCCTCTTCTCACAGACTCAACAGTTAACACTTATCAGACCTTCTTACCATGGATTTTCTGTGGATGGAAATGGTGCATGCTAAGAAATCTCCAGGTGGTCCAAAATTCAAGAATAAGGTGTTATGATGCTTACTGCTTAGATGTTTTACAGCAGAGAGCAGGGTGCAAATCATGGTGGTATCATGAATTCCTACATGATAGTGACCCAATTATTTACCTCTCGAAACCTCAGCCTTGTTGTGACAAGCAGAGCGCCAGGGAGCTGATGCTGACCCACAGCGGCCCTACTCAAATCAGAACAGAGCACCACGCTGGCCTTCTCTTTTCTATGTCTGCTGTACAGTATAAACAATATGTACTTTAAGCTTATAGTCTCCATAGTCTCTAATCTCTATGAAGCCATTTATTCCCATTTTTAAAAAAAACTTCAATGTCATTATCTAATTGAGTAACTACAATTCACTACTATAAATATCTACAAAATAATACCCAAACTCTTTCCACCTAAATCAGCTTTTCTTCTTTAAAAAGGGAATTTTTTTATTCCTGGAATTCACTAGTCTATTTCTTTGGTCTTTGTATTTTCATTTAAAATTTATCCTGAGTTTATTAATAGTTATTCTTCCATCTCAAAATCCTGCATTTTATAAGTTAATCTAGTTCATGCTGTAGTTGTTAAAAATTCAGTGGTGAACAGCATTTTCAGTTCCACTATTTTTAGTTCAATAATATAGCAAACCATTAAATCCTTACCAAGAGAAAAGCAAAAATATCCATATAAATATGATTTATTAGAATCATCTGTTAATTTATAAGTACAAAATCCCTGGCAAAGAATTACAAACTGTTAAAATAGTTTTCCAAGGAATTTGTAATGGGCAGACCATGCTCATTTAAATGATAAAACAAGAGATTAGTGGAAAAAGCCTTTAAAGCTACTTGAGAAAATGTCATTTTCTTATTAGCAAATTATATATTACATATATTAAATTTATTAGATACACGTACAAGTTGGTAATAAACATACACATACCACAAACACACCCCACCCCTAGTCCTGGTTTATTTAAAACAATGGCATTCTAAGTGTATATATAAGTATACTACTTATATCAGGGAGAAAAAGTGTTTATGAAATTTACCCATACCTTCAAAGACATCTGTCATTTTGCAAATGTGGGCAAATGTAGCTCCAGTAGCCCAGGTATGTACTACATCCATTAGGTGAGGCTTGAATGAACTTAGGTAAGTTTCCTCATCAATTTCCAATTTGGCTTCTGCTGAAACTTTCGCAATTCTTTTTGCACATTCCTTTAAAGATAAATGATAAACTTAAAACTTTCTTCTTAGGATCCCCCAAGTCCCCTCTTTCTTTAGGTTTCCAAAGCTTGCATTTTACAAGGGACCTTTTTCTTCCTTGGTGTTTTTTTTGCCTACAATGTGGACGTTGTGTTTCTAATGGGTAGGATATCTGTTCTTTGGCTACGTGACCAAACAGTTTAGTTTTCCCATTAGGTTGAGGTGGTTCACCAAGAAAAATATATCTGCACCACGATTTTCATCAAGTTATACCTTTCTACTAAGAATAGCGCTCCTCATTAAAGTTATCCAAGAATAACACTGAATAAATCTCTACTCAAAGAGATTAAAAATAAAAACAGATTGATTGTGGGTGGGTGCTGTTGGGTCGATTCTGACTCATTTCTACCTCTTGAGACACAGAACTAGCACATACAGGGCTCTGGGCTGGCACCTCTCAGAAGCAGAGCACCAAGGCTTTCTCCCGGGGAAGCACTGGGTGGGTTCAGATCACCAACTTGTTGTTAGTGCCAACAGAGCTCATTCAAAACAGATTTTGAGAAATATTAAGAGATTAGACTAATCTTTTCTTGGTATCTTAAAAGGTAAAAATTCCTAGACCTATACTGATTTCCCTGGTTTCAAAGCTTACATTTTCTTACAACACTCCCACAATTCATGATCAGAAATGCTCAGGGTACAATGCTAACATTTCTAATCCTGAATTGTAATCTCTTAATTTCCCTAATAAGCCTGACAGTCATATAGTATTTTCTGAGTTCTGTGTAGCCACTGCAATGAACTACTGAACCCAGCAGAGAAGTAGAGGGTGTTGTGGGAAGGATGGTTTGTGTCAGAATTGGTAAAGAAGGTTGGAGTGGAAGTGTGACCTCTGCCTCAAAGAACTGGCTTTTGATTGATGAGACTGATTCTCCTTCACCCTTGTGAAGTCAGAAATCCTGGATGGCTCCCACTCTTACACTAATATCAAGTGACTAATTTATTGTTGAAAGGAGTTATTTCTGTGAAATGACAAACTACTATGATCTGCCTGTACAAGTATTCACTTTAGAATCTATGACTCACAATATCGCGGTTCACAAAGATCTTACCTGCATTTGACGAAGTGGTCCTGCTAACTGCTCTGTTAATTTGGGCATCTCACTAGACTATAAAAGAGAAGGAAAACTAGATATAAAAACTCAAATTTAACGTACATCACAAACAAAAATGCTTCCAGGATAACTATTAATACCAAAATTTCAGTAGTTAAGAGTTTCTAATCAACTCTCGTGGACTAGTATCAGACTTATGGACTTGGGGTGCACTGGGCTGGGATTTTTTTGATACGTAATTAATTTTTGATATAAAACTCTCTCATACATACGAGTGTACTGGATTTGCTTCTCTCGTCAAACCCGGTCTCTCTCTCACCTCCAGAGTCTCTACAAATCAGAAATGACTCCAGGGCATCGAGTATGAGTTATGTAAGATTTGGTTTTAATTGGTATCATTTGCATATTATGTAATAAATAATACATCAAGATCTATATTATTCCTGTTAAAACCAAATCAAACCATGTCAAAAGCATGACAACCGATGAAATAGCAAAATGGCCAGGCGGAATTCAAAAGTCCAGTAATAGAAAAAAAGCGCATTCCTTAATGTCTTTGAAAGTGCGTTCATTCCAGGTCAACAATGACTGCTCACATCTCTGAGGTCACCAGAGGTAGTGCTCACCCACCAGACATGGGCTGCAAAGTTGGCACCCTCATCTTTCCCCAGGTCTCAATTCAAATGTCATTCTAACGGTGAGGTCTTCCTAAAACTTCACTTAAATACTTATTTTGAAACATAGTAATTCTGTCCCTTCAATGGTCTCTATCTGACTTCTCTGGTCCCCTATTCTCTATAACCTCTATCACTATTCAACACTATAGTATAGGTGTATTGTTTCCATAATGCCTCTCTTCATTCACTAGCATATATATATGATGAAAGCAAAATGTTTCTGATATATTTGCATTTAGACCTATCCAGTATACTTAAAAAGTAAACATCTTTAACAGAAGATAGTATGCCAAATAGCTTCTAATCTATAACAAGTTATTATGTTTATTATTTTTGGCAAGAAAACATTCTATTAAAAGCATCAACAAAATTCCATTTGATCTTCAGTGCAATTTTCCTTCTTGATGTTGTAAGGCATCACCACAAGAATCAATGGCAATGCACAGGAAAACTGCGTGGTTTCACCAAACTGGATCTAGTGACATCTTGCCACAATCTTTAAGGGTTGTGGCTTGGCCAAGCCCAACTCCTTTTAAAGGGTCTCTTAAAGAAGGAATTTTTATCATGCCACATTTTTAAAACAAAAAGCAAGAGATGAGCCACAACACAAAGTCTGACACAGGTCAAAATCTATAAAGCCCCTCAACAACCTCTAAACGTTGTCTGTTCAAAGAAAGTTGACAAACTATTATCTTGAAATTGATGCCATAAATTTCTGAACCTGAGAATAGTATTCAAACATAGTATTTTTAATAAGGTAATATATAAAATTACCTACGTGTAAATTACTGCATAATTGTACTGCAGGCCTTCTCAGGAGAGCATATACTATTCCATTTGTTATCACAACCACTAAAGCTATAATTCTAATCAGTAATCAGGAACCTAAGAGAAAAATATCCACTGATATATCTGATTTGATTACCATCCTTTGATGCCACATTTCACTCATAAAATTCCAAGAGTTAATTTACATAATCTCCTTTTAATTTTATTATTACTTTTTAATTTATCGATCTTAATGCTTTCATATAATAGGGAAATATTAATAACAAGTTAATAGATAAATGCATGGCAGAACAACAACAAAGTATCTGACAATAATATACCTAAAAGGTTAAGTAAGTGCAGTCTAAATTTAGCTATAGCAATGGTAACAACAATTAGGTCTATTCCATCTAACATTAATAAAATTTTAAATTTGGAATGAGGGATATGCATTTTACATTAAAAAAAAAATCAGAGTGGCTTCTGGAATAAAGCAAAGGTTGAATAGCATTCTTGTGGTGTTCCAGTCAGCCCTTTGTTTTTCTTTTTGGTTTCTTAGGTTGCTGAACTATTTACTCACGTGACAAACTAAGCGCTGTTACACCAATGAGAATGTGTTCATGGCGACTGCTTCAAACGTTACCCATGAACACTCAAATGTAATTCTCTAATGGGATCACTTGCTGCAGAGTTATTCTCAAAGAATGGGTGTGTAGGTACCTGGGGTCATTCAACCTCTCTATCAACTATTAGTTTTGTCTTATTTCACTTACAGTCATCTTTTCTTTCCTAGAACTGTCTAAGCCAGACTTTCAAACAATGAAGAGGGCAACAGAATAAACGTGGATTCTAATTAATGATGAATATCCATTAAAAAAAAAACTATTTTACTCCCATATCTGGCAATAGGTATTTAATTGTTTAATGCTTTCTTAGTTTTGAATACCACACATTATACATTTGAAATATTTTTATAATTAGAAATATCTACAGTACTGTGATATTTAGGCATGTAAATTTATAAATCAGTTAAATCTATAAACTCACATTTTCTTGAAAAACGAAGCAGCTCAGTAATGCTGTTGCCTGTTCTGCAGTGAGGTCATTGAAAAGGCCATTAAACATCATCTCGGTTAGCAGCAGCTCGTCCGCACTAGAGAGAACAGGAAAAGAGAAGGATTTTCAAAGCTTAAAATGTGCAGACACACAAAACATTGCCG